TCATTTTCATACTTGGCCCAGGGTCCTTTAAAGCCATCAATGTCACCTGCATCGTCATTCTTGTCACGACGTCGTTTTGTTGGCTGATCAGGTTTATGCTTGGTCTCAAACACTGTTATCCCGGAAGTTTCCTTGGCCGTAGCTGTATCTCCAATGTATCTTCTTCCATCATCAGGATCTCCAGAGATGGATGGGTCAACAGCATACCCTGAAATATAAGAAAAATATTTTTACTGTAGCTCCATGTTTGCAATGACAGTGATTAGGCTAACATTCTAAAGAACAAACAAACAAACAAACAACTGCATAACAGCAATGCAAGTCTGCAAAATACTGGTAAAATGAAAATCATGCCTAGGATATCATAAATCTAATTACTTATGATGCCAAGACCAGCCTTTCAGTTATAATATACCATGGCTTGTCTTAAATACACATGCCACTTCCTCCTGTCTTTTGCAGAGCACTTGGGAAAAAACAACTTGAAAATAGATATTCAACAAATCTAAATTAATCTTTTTTTGATAATATATCCAGAGGAAAACAACATAAAGTCTAACTGGAGAGCACTCTTAACTGATAAAAAACAGACGCTACCGAAATCTTATGTAAATCAAGAGTTGTGTATGAACTGCAAACCCATTTCCAATTGTATTTTTCTTCTCCTGCATAGAAAAATAAATCACTTTTTAAGTTGTAACAAGTGAACGGTAATATTTTACACTTTTTCCGAATATTCATAAACAACTGGATGAGTTGCACTATTGGTAAGGGTTAAACAAGGGCTTAAATGTGAATCACTAAATGATGCTTGAATATATTATACTGCTTCTGTTGCCATCTCAACTTTCATCTGCAGTGTCCTAAGGACACAAAACAACCATTTCTATCAAAAGGTTGCATAAAACAAGGTCTGCATGCTGCTGATCAGGAATTTTTTGTTTTGTTTTTCAAAACAAGGTTACAAGTACGTTACCTTCACCAGAAAAGAATAACTGTCTCTCTCCATCCTTATTTGTTAACATGTGACTTTGCTTTATAATAAAATATGGATAAAAACTTATTCTAAATATCAAAAATCTGTTCTTTGACACTAGAATCAGACATCTTTGATTATGGTTACAGCCATTATCTCATGCATAAATCTACATGAAAATTATCAACATTATTATTTCTTTATGTAGATATAATTTGGCTTCCCCATTATCATATAAATGGTTGTTATTCATATGTTTGATAATAACAGAGCCTATGTTTTTTTTTTTTTTTTTTTTTTTTTTTTTTCTGTAGCAATGCTCTGGTTCAATAAACACTCAATTATGCCCTTATGATTTAAAAAAAATTATCATCATAAAACATTCTGCTATATCTATTTCATCCTGCCTAAATTATGTTCATCACTATCAGCAAAATTAATATGACATGTGGATAACAAACTTCACCTTTACAACATTCAGTTATCTCTCTGTCCCATTCCCTCTATAGGACACTTAACCCACAAATGCAAGACCCGTTACAGTGTCACACCGGCAGGACACCCGGCAATTTTTTTTCCAGGTGTCTCATACGTGGGACACCTGTCGTAAGTGGTTTAATGCTAGTATAGGTAAATCTGCCATATGTTGAGTTACTTAAAATAATTACATAACACTAATAATATGCTTCAAAAAGAAAAGATATCTATGCTAAGTAAAACCCTACGAGTCACTATCTAGTCTGTGTTCTACAAATAACAAATGGAATAAGATTTTTTCTTCCAATTTAGCATACATGATATTCATTCGTACACTTTTTCTAATCTTCTGAGAAAACCTTTGAGTTCCATACCTCAATGATCAATCTAATGGTTGTTGCATATACAACTGAACTACAGGTACTTTTGACTAATTTTCCTTTCAGTAAACAGAATCTTAAAATTACTTTCCACATAACTCATATTTCTAATCATAAATATTATTGTATTTGAACAACTGCCGACCCTGTGCTATGATTAAGCAATGTTATGATACCACAAAAGCAAGTCAATCAGGTGTTTATATTCTTCTTGTTATGAGATACTCTGAGAAGTAAGCCATTAGTAATACAGCATTAATGTACAAAGCTTACCATAAGTTGTAAATGTGCGTCTCTGAGACTCAAATTCAAAATGATTGAAGTGCGCAGGTTCAACATGTCCAGCTAGAGTATTGCGGTTCACTTTGTGGTAGTCCGACTCTGGTTTGTTAGGTCCCAGGGTTGGAGCATACAGTTCATCATACTTTGGGTTGTACTTCAGCTCCTTCTCTTGTGGGTCTAAGTGGCGGCGGTCATCCAGTTCTTTCTGAAATGGAAGTGTATGGATTAAGATTCAATGCCTAAAAACAAAAACTGTTCTGCATATGTGATCAAAAACCAATTAAATTATGAAAGAAAGAAAAAAAAAAGTTCCTAAAGCATGGAACATCTAACATGTACAATGCCCTGTTATATATTTTTTTTCACCTTGACTAACTACATTGCTGATATCAACTCTGATAACTATAGCACACATGAAGTATGGTACAGATACTGCAGAGTAAAAATCACATAGATAAAAATTTCTAGCAGTTCAAAAAAGTGTTAACAGTGTATAAATCCTCATATTTAATAAATGACTCAAAATGAAAAAAGAAAAAGAAAAAAGAAAAAGAAAAAGAAATACATTGTAAGTGGCCTATGATAATAATTCTTTGTAATAATAAAATAAAATAAACTAACAAATAAATATGGCAATAAATCTCACTTATAATATGAAAGAAATATATATATCTAATGCATATTTGTTTTCCCTGATGGCACATGGAGGAACTTGTATTTCTTAGCAAAACATTGCGATACAAATGGAGGAAACAGTTCAGTGACTGTACTGGAACTGGTTATTCCTGTCTGCCATGCCAGTCTTTCAAATACTGAATACCTATAGACTAATATATGCCAGTGACATTAACGATGGGAAATATATGCCAGCGTACAAAATTTCAAAAGAACTGTCTGCCAAAGATCTTTGATGGAAAGGGCCTTGATTCCAGAGTGGATCAGTTTTTCTTATCACTAGTGATGAATATATATATATATATATATATATATATATATATATATATATATATATATATATATATATATATTTTTTAACAGTCTTCGATTTTATAATTTTGTCTATGGGTTGGATAAAGTTTCAGGAAGATCTGGAGGTCCTACACACATGAAGCTATCTTTCAACTGTCCATAAGAGAAAAAGTGCTAAACTGATCACATAACTCATTACTAAAAAATGTCAACGAATTTTTGTATTACTAAGTTGGTATGTGTGTGAAAATTAATACTTCATAATTATCAATGACTGCAATTCTACATTTATGTACTTCATATATTCTCTTAATAATGACATACTGCATAACATTTAATTAGAATAAGAAAGAATTTCCTAATAAGTACATATTCTGATAGAACTTTATATACAGAACTATATAAAAAATACTGTGCATGGTTATTTTCTCTATTATGAAAATCAGGACTTCCCAGACACTATTTATATCATCAGATTTATTCTCGTGTGATGAGAATAAAGCAATCCATAGCAATCACAGCCGACAATCTTGATGTGTTAACCCATTTATGATGAGTGTCCCACATGAGATACCCGGAAAAATAAACTCTGGTTCCATCGCAGGAGCAGATTCCGGCCAGCCCTGCATGCCGATTTTAGAGCCGCCCAGAAACTGTTATTTTCTAGTGAGTTAAGTCCAGTTAACAGGGGAGGGCATGAAGTATATCAGCGAAATTATAGAGTAAAACAGGCTTAAATAACAAGCATAGCAAACCGATATGCATATAACTAGCACAAAAAATGCTAAAAATTGGCCAATGAAACTCTACGGACATGCCTGCCACCTTTGAAAGTCTACACATCGATGTGCCAAAGTAAAAAAAAAACATCTTTTGGCAAAATCTACAGGATTTCACACCTTCTGAACCCAAAAAAAGTCCTGACCCATAACCCAACCTAATCTAACGATTTATGGTGCCGTGACTAGGTGTAAGGGGAGGGTTGATACCTACAACCCCTGGGATACATTCTCTTCACCTCGGTATGTATGGCAAGATAGAGCTACATCTATTGTGGATTGCTTTGTTTTTATCACTTACCTTGAAATGTATTTTTTCATCAATTACTTTGAAATATATTTCATGGGCTACAACAAGTAGATCATAGATTTACGCAAGAGTCAAAGGAATTCATCAGTAATAATAGGGAAGACTTGTAAGCCCCAATTTATTCATTGTTAACAGTAAATTGATCTCTTACCTCCATTTTCACAGAAATATTCTAATTACAGGTACAAGTGGCAAGGTGCATCATCACAAACAATACAATGACAATATACAGAGGGGGATTTGTATAAATCTAAAAACACCAAATGTATAATAACATTACTATAATATGTGCATCATTCATTACAATCATATCTTAGGGAACATTATGAAAATGAGTTATACCACACACATACGTGCTCAATATTCTTTCCTGCTAACCCTGTAGCCTTAGTTAAATATTCTAGTCCTTACCGTTGACGTCACCTCCGGATTGACCACAAACTGCAATTGCTTAGAGATAGTGTTGCCGCTTTCGATCGGCCGCAAATGTTGCAAAGATTCCTCGCCAAGGCTGTCATCCTCACTCTCACTCCCGCTGCCATAGCTCCTCAGGTTGAGCAGCGACGCCATCTTTGTTTACCTCCGGGCAACGTTTTAGAACAAACGGGTTCTTAAAAATCCACTTTTACATCATTTCCACGGAAAAAATAATCATATGACTAGATATTACGAATTATGAAGAATATAAAAATATTCTATTTTTTTCATATCTAGTTAGCAGTTATTATTTATATGTTTACAGAAAAATTGATCCGTGGGTGTGCGTTGTAGGCAGACGCTGCTCTCCGCCCTCTCATGTTTTGGCAGGTGAGTTGTTGTTTTTCCCAATTTCCTTCACTGACTGGCTGTTGCAAGCCCGCTTGGAGAATTTTTGATATTCGGCAGCAATCCGGTCTTTCTGCTTCTCAGTGCCGTGTAAGGAAGGGTTGTTCTTCACCCATATAAAGAAAAAAATCGCTCTAACCTGTGAGAAACTTCAGCGTCAATGGAAACTGACGCCATTTCTCTCTATTTTGCGAGGGATTTCGGCTTCTTGGGCCGCCAAGGGCACTAGGAACAGACTGATTTGTGGTGCCATTATTGATGGTTCTTACGAGAAGGGGGCCATACCGGAAAAACTCGCTGAAACGCAAGAGAAAATGCTTATAAGGCGAGATAATGACCAATGTTTGTTGTGGTGCCAGCGAGCCCCTCCCCTCGTGCCCCTCCCTCCCCTTGTGCCCCTCCCTCTCCCAGTGCCCCTCCCTTCCCTCGTGCCCTTGCCTTCCCTAGTGCCCCTCCTTTCCTCGTGTCGGGTCCTTCCTTCGTGCCCGTCCTCGCCCTCTTGCCTCATCCTCCGTGCACGCCCCTCCCTTTCTCGTGTGCCCCTCCCTCTCCTGGTGCCCCTTCCTCCCACACAAGTGCCACCCCATTCTCCTGTGACCCTCCCACTCTCCCTGTTCCTTTCCTTACCCTAATACTCCCCCTTTTAATCATTACCTCATCCTTCACCAGTGCCACTCCCTCCTCATATGTCTTCCTTATTCCCAGGTGCTTTTCCCTTCCTGTTGGGCACTCCTAATGCCCTCCCACTGGATGTGCTCTTGTCTCCCTTATGGCACTTTTCCCTCCTGTTGGGTTGGTTATTCTTCCTCCAATGTTGTATGGGCACAAGTATTTTCTGCGTATATTATTGTGTACACCAGGATTATGCTCTTGCACACAGGAAACCTCGTTGTGCATTGCAATGCTCAGTAGACAGAGAGGAGAAAAAGCACATTGATATTGAGTGAAATTTTAAGGCTTAAGCTTACAGTGACTTTATGATCAAAGAGTATGGCATTCTTGAACCTCTTATGTAGTGTAAGAACTTCTGCTTGTTTGCCTCCCCCCACTCTGGGAAAAATCCATTATTTTTTCGTTTCACTAAGGCAGATACTAGTTACAGGCATTTTAAGAGAATGATTTTAAATACAAGAAAATATATATTTCATTGTCATATATTTCCTCCATAAAGCTTAAATTCAGTGCATAGTTAAAGATGTAAATCCATAAAGTATCAACAGAGTGCGATTTTGAAGATGAAATTGTAGTTACAGCTTGAATATGAATGAAAATGGGAATGCATTAATATATTCATGTAAATAAAGCACATTCAAAGTAACAAGTCCATTTTTTGTCATATAAAACAGTAGAATGTGCAAGATGAATAGGACTTTAAAGGTTAACCAGCCTGGTTGCAGCTGACCATACTGAAGATACAGGGCAAGAGCAATAGATAATACTGAAATGCATATTAATAAGAAACATTTAAGTTTTTATGAATAGTAATATGGAAATAAATATATATGTTTGGTAAAAGTTTACAATAGGACCAGACTCGTTAGACAGAACCACACCCATCCCCAATTTGAACAAATGAACCCCATCCTAAGTGTATAGATTACCACAAAGATCACTGTATGAACCAAAAAATCTTCTTATCCCTTCTCATCACTATTTCTCCCTTGTTGATGCAGTCCTTTTGTATAGTACAACTATATTTTTATATTACAATTTCTAGTGAAGATGGAATTCTGTAAAGGAAGGATGCGTAGCACATCCGAACCAATTTTCATGCCATAATTTGCATAGAATGTATAATAAACTACTGGGAAATGGCAAACTCAGAGCATTATTATATTTTCTTAATGGCTTCTCTTCATATTATTTTGCCATTTAAAAAGTGCCACGGTTTTATACCTAGCCCTGACTATAAGTCTTTCCGTGCCTCCCTACATGTACCTCGCTCACCCCTTGTTTCTGTCTTTCCTCTTGTGCCCTTCCCTTGCTAATTACTTCAGTCACTTCTTTCTTATCTTTTGTGCTGATTATTTTTCATTATTATTCATTTCATACCTTCTGTGCACATTGTTATTAATTTTATTTCTGAGTGTTATTTTATGTAGTATTGATCCATTATAATCATTGTCAGTTTTTTTCTGTTTGGTCCTTGAAGTTAATTATAACACCCTTCCCCCATGTCTCACCCCTTACCCCTACCCATTTGCTACTCTTGTTCCTGTACCTTCCCCATGTCAACCTCTCCACATTCTTTCCCCTCCACATGCCCCTCTCCCACCTCTCCATTCTTTTGTCAGTGTCCTTTTATTTTCCCGGTATTCCCCTTGTTGCTCTAATCGATAAATGTTATAATTAGAATGGCATCAAACGATGTTATGGCTTATGTGCATTGTGCATTGGCAGAGACTAACTAACCTCTGTTATGTAAAGTCTGCTTTTGAAGAGCTTGGACTTAGATGTGCAGACTTTTTATAAATGTCTGTGGGCTTCCTCATATGTTGAATTTTTTCTATACCCTCTAGTATTGCTTTATATAATCTGTATTCTTTACAACCATTCTTTGAATTATTTTACATGGTCCTACTCCCTACCCCATTCTTATGAATGTGGTCTTTGCCTCTGTTTGCATCTCTTCTTTTTTAATGACCTTATACTTGGGTCCTACCCCTTATCTCACATCCTTCCTCTCGTACCCCCTCATTTTATTCCAGAATCCCTGTCATATGCCTAATCTTTTGTCCTGTGTTTTTCTCTTTGTCTCATGCTGTTCCACATGTTTTGCATATCTATATTTGATATTGTCTCTTGATTAATTTCATGTCCTTCTCTTCATCTTTCGTACAGCCTCTCTGCCCATTTTTTCTCTTCCTCTCTTTCAGCTTCTTTCATCCTGCCCTGAACTCCTTATATCAAACATCTCCCCATAGCCTGTGTAGAGACCAGTTGCTTTGCAATTGCTTAAGTGAGATGGAAATTAAAGACAAGTGAAATTGAAATTCGCAAAGGAAGATGCTTTGAAAGAATGTAAATGTGCTTTTTTTTGTATGTTTTTTTTTGTATACACAGGATAGTGTTGAAGATTTAATGACAAGTAGAAAGTGGTGTGGGTCTGTAGATTTGATATGAACATAGGTATAACTAAAAATCCTTTCATAGCATCCTAACCCCTTGCTAATGAGTGGCATGGATGTAAATGCTGTGGCTTGACTGGATTCTCTTTTGAGTGGTAAAATAAATTTAGACTTTTTCATAGTCAAAATCATACTTGCCATTGCAATGTACAAGTTATCGATATTGAAGGATATAGTACAACCAAAGAAATTGATAAGACAGAGGCCCATGTAATGAAAGTGCCTTTTTATAGAAATTGTTATATTACAGCCAGTCATAACTCTTCATATTTTTATCTCAGGTAAGAGATGAAATGTAGAAGCACTCTGGAATTACTATTGAAAAAGTTACACGTACATTTCAAATATTTTATACATTTGGCATTTACATTTTGGGCTGCATTAGCCATATTGGTTGCTCCACCCCCATTCACCATCCCCTTTCCCTCCCCAAACCTTACAGCCTCTTTCCTCCCCCCTTGATTTTCTATGCCTCACAGTAACTATTCTAAACTTTGTTCTGCTACTGCTTAGCAACCTTATAACACATCACAAAAGATAAATTTTATGTTGTGTAAAATTAACCATAGGTGGAATATGAAAGTTTAGACATTATGATGGTTAGGGGAAGGGGCGAGAGGAATTATGTTTCGGAGTTAGTCACAATCACTACATTTGATGGTGCTTATTACTACTATGTATTTCATTACACTATTATTTTTTATCACCTCTGTTTTGTGGTTTGGCTTGGCATATTGGAATGAAAGACAAATATAGGTTTTAGATACATAGATTATGAAAGACAAATATAGGTTTTAGATACATATATTAGTGGAATGATAACTAGCAATAGAGAATCTCTTTATTTTAAGAAGGATAAAGGAAAGAATATCATGGGATGTTGTAAACTTCATTTCTATGTTGATTGAAGAATTTAATGGAAAAAATAGGGGGCAAGGGAAGAAATATAGAGAAAGTGAATTCGTGGATAAGAGGAATTTAGAGGGTGAGAGTTAGAGAAGAAGTGATAGAAGAGGCAGTGTCAGGAGTTGAGACAAAAAGGTTGAGGTAAAAAAAAGAAAAGAAAATTATTGAGAGAGCTAGAGCGAGTGGTATAGGGATCGATATTTAGTGTTGGAGAAAGAGAGAGGAATTGGTAGGGACCGAGAAACAGCAATAGGGGGAGTGGTAGAGGTAGAGAGAGAGTGGACATTAACTAAGAATGGGAGTATAGATAGGGTGTGCAAGGAGAGATAGAGAAAAGAAGGGAGAAGGAGTTGAAGAGAAAGAAAGGGAGAGGGAGAGGTAGGGAATGGGAGAAATAGAAGGGAGGAAAGGGATTAGGAGAGGGAGATGTATGTGTGGAAAGTGGGAAAGGAATAAATAGGGAGGAGAGAGAGTAAAAAGTATAGTGAGAGAGAGTCCATAGGAGATTAGGGAGAGGAAGGACTTGTGTCCATTTGAGAAAAGGACAGGAAAGGAGAACTGCCAAGACATGAGTAACAGTGAAGCAATTGATAAGATAAGGCTTAGCTTATCAAGACTCACATTTTAAAGAACTTTTTCTTTTACTCTTCAGCTATTTGCCCCTCTTTCTGTCTCTATCAGTGTCTGTCTGTCTGTCTGTCTGTCTGTCTGTCTGTCTGTCTGTCTGTCTGTCTGTCTGTCTGTCTGTCTGTCTGTCTGTCTGTCTGTCTGTCTGTCTGTCTGTCTGTCGTCTGTCTGTTGTCTGTCTGTCTGTCAATCTATCTCTATCTATCTATCTATCTAATCTATCTATCTATCTATCTATCTATCTATCTATCTATCTATGCTATCTATCTATCTATCTATCTCTATCTATCTCTATCTATCTATCTATCTATCTATCTCTATCTATCTATCTATTATCTATCTATATCTATCTATATCTATCTATCTATCATCTATATCTATCTATCTATCTATCTATCTATCTATCTATCTATCTATCTATCTATCTAT